CGGCAGGGGACCGGACTTGATATTACAGGTCCCTTGCAGTTCTATGCTTCCATAATCCCATAAGATTGGACCCCTAATATAATCCATGACCTGTTCTGACCTATTTATAAAACTTTTCTAAAAAGGTTACATGAATGTATTGTCTCAAATAGTTTTAATTTAAGATATGTTAAAGCTCAAAGATGGCATCATGGAATAGGGATTATAACATCTAATTATACACTATCTTTTTATATAGGTTTATTTTTTTTAAAAGCCTCTTAAAAATAAAGAATACAATTTAAATAAAAAAATTGATTTTTTAAAATTAAAAATCTTTTTTTCTTATTTAAAGAAAATTGTTGATCTTTATCCACTTATGCACTGTATTTCTCCATTTTTCTAAGCTCTCTGTGTCTTTCTATTGTGAGCTTCTTGGAGCAGGAAGGGACCTGGAATATCTGTAAAACATCTACTGTCCATTATGTTAACATAACTAATCAAAATGTTCAACTTCTTCATTTTGCTATGAAGAGTAAACAAGTCTTAAAGCACTAATCATTTTAGAAGGAAATGCATCTCAATTTTCTGTGTAGGTGGATGAATAAAAAACACCATATCCTTTGCTGTTAAAGTCTATTCTGGCTAAGTGTTGCAAAAAGATCACACACAGATGCTTTCTGCCACATTTAATCTTCACGCTGACATGTTACCATTTTAATGTTTTTACTGAAAAATTTCAAGTGTAAAATGTAAACAGGAATAAATGAAGTGTATTAAGCTAGAAACTGATTTAGGATGTGAAACCAATAACGTGCTGGTGCTTCTACGTGCTAGTATCAAAACAAAGATCCCGTTTCACTTTGTGTGATTTCCTTCCAACATTTTTCCTTGCCTGAAATGCTTTAAACAGCAGAGTCACCTGACTTCAAACACTGCACGTTCAAGCAAGATGTACTGAGCAAATGAGTGCCTTTCCAAAAAAACCAAACTTTGCCTCCAACAGCTTTTTAGCATGTTTTTTTTTTTTAACATGAAGATATAAAATTACCTGTTTATCATGTACATAACTTTGTTCTTGTAGTTCAATATGAAGCAAGTCCTTGTGTGTCTCGGTCATCTCAGGCTTTGTTGTCTCCATCAGTCAGCAGTGAAAAGCATCTGTCTAGCACAGGAAACAGGAGAAGCAAAAGAATTGCATGCAAAAAAATATGCAGGTAAATTGCCTTAATTCATAGGTGCAGTATGTGCTGAATTGAGAAGCAGAACCGAAAGGCTACCCTTTGCTACTCTTTTACAATGTGTATAGAGTGTATCTCCTTGTATAAAACGTGAGTTGGTGACTGGTCTAGTTTCTAGCAAGCAAGTAAACAAGCTGCCATTATGTATAGGTTCCTTTCTGAAACTCCTGAGGGGAAATAAAGCCTTGAGATTAAAAAGGTTGAGAGAGATCCTTCATACTGATCTTCTTGGGTTATTATGGTAGCCATTTGATTTCTGGAATGTTTCTCTTTCATGATGTCTGTTGGACAAGACAGAAGGTTAAACATTTTTAGTTCTGCCAGATTTGCTTTTAGCTTTTTACTTCATAGTGTTTTGTCTCTGGGAGTTGTGGAATGTGTGGGTGGGACAGAGGTGGATGCCTGAAGGAAAGCCATGAAGTGTAAAAACCTAACTTCCAAGGATTCATCATATTGTGGGTTTTTTTTTTCTAGAATTCCTTATTTCTCTTTAATTCCTGACTCCCCTTTTTGTGTCTTTCCCCCACTTTTTAAATTATTTCACTAACTTGGATCAAAACAAACCCCCCCCCCAACTTTGTAGCATCAAACACTAAATCAGTTACTTTAAAGTGTATTGAAGTTGATTCCTTTATTAGGAACAATTATTTTATTACTGTTTCATTTTTTTCCTCTTCAGTTTTTATCTCACTGGTCTCAAGAAATAATCTAAAATAGAAAGTATAAAAGGATACAAATTATAAAGAGAGCAGTATTTGGGTTGTTTTTTTTTCTCTCTTTCCATTACCTTTTTCTTAATGTTCACATTTTTCAGGGCCGAATCAGGAAAAACTGGCTGTTTCTCTCCAAAGATTAGCCGAAAAGAAATGGTTCGCAGATCGTTACGTTTGAAGTTCAGTCTGGGAAAAAGCAACAAAGATGTAGTATGTTAACTTTTCCTATCCTATTCTTGTCAGCATATTCTAGGGAATGTTGTCAAGGAAGAGAGAGTACTGTTCTTGTAGCCTGTATAGCATAAAGAGGTCTACGTTGTTTAAATAAGGAAGAGAGAAGTTTCTCTGTTCTAAAATTTTGCATTAAAAATGTTTAAATGCAAGTCGTCTTAGCAGTTGCTATCAATGGAAAAACATTCTTTGAACTGTAAACTTGCATTTAATTTGGATCTAGAAAACAAATTAAGTTTTGAATAATCTTATGTTCAGTCTTTTTAAAACTTTTTGTGTTTGGTTTTTTTTTTTTTTCACTTCCAAGATGAATGTTGCAAGTGGATGTCCAGCTGTACACAGGTCTGAAAACATTGGCCGGCGACTTGCAAATCAACAAGATCTGGAAAACAGAGTTGAAGATTCAAAGTCAGAATTGCACTTTACCCCAGGTGTTAGTGAAAAATTTACAAAGAAAGGTAAAAGTTATTTGACAGCTTGCTGATGGCCATTAAAAACAGAATTAAGTGATCTTAAAGGTTCCAGAGGGGAAATAGCCAGACAAAAAATAACTGATAAATTGGGTAACGGGGAAAAGTTAGTTGTAATTACAAATTTAAATAACTGCATTTTTATAGTACCTTGGTTTACTGATGAGTCTTACTACACTAGTAGTCTAAAGTCTTTATGTGAAAGACTTTCATCTCTGGATATGTAAATTTAAACAAAGTACTTAAATGGAGAATGTTGCAACTTCAAATTCATTTATTATAACTAGATTTATTGGCAAGATTCTTGTTTATAGTTTTGCTAATGTTCTATTAATAGACTAATGTTAAACACATTTTTAAAAATAATTTTATTATCAAACTTCTCTTAAGGTTCAAAAAATATCAGCAAATCTGAGGAAAACTTGCTAACGCCAAAATGTCATGATAAAGTAAGTTATCGAATGTCATGGAATGGACCCAGTAATGCAGGTTCTCAGGGGACCAGCAACAGAGAGACAAATCTGATGGGATATCTTGAAGCGGAGACCTGTTCTTCAGAACCTGTTCTTGTAATTGGAAAGCCACCTGTTATTCCAGATGATTTGAGATCTACTATTGTAAATAAGCAAGATGTCAGTCTAAGAGAATTTTCACTTTGTGAAGATGAGAACTTGACTACAGAAACATTACTGAAGATTAAGAAAGCATTTTCTGACTCTGGAAGTAATCTTCACAATCTGATAGCAGATACAAAGTCTTCACTATTGGAACTAACAGAAGAAAAGCTAAATGAAACTCCTCGTCTCACAGGGTTCAGTCCAGTGAAAGAACAGTTAGCTGAAGTTTCAAAAAATCTGGCAGTTGCAGAATCAAAGGATAAGTTTGATCAATTAATTGATCAGTCTTCTGCCACTGGCTGTCATCAACTGAGGAAGGATGAAATCAGAGCTGTAGAGAACTTTTTCCAAAACCCTGTTGAGTTTGAGCTTCAGACTCAGAAATTGGACACAGAAAATGTGCCAGAACTTACTATGCCTCAGGTAATGACTAGTGAGGGCAAGCTGAATTTTCAGGAAAGCCTCTCCAAAGATAACTTAAATTCACTTGGAAGAAAAGAAGGGGGAGTAGAATTGGAGCAGTCAAAAATATTGGAAGGCTATGAGCTTAAATACTGTAATTCAGAGACAGAAAGTGTGAAATCTATTGCTGGGGTACAAATTCCTGCTTCACAGTTCCTAGGGTCCAGAAATAAAACTGGAGAACACAGTGGAGAGACTAGAAGTTATGATAAAACTACACCAAAAACTTTACCTGCTTCTGATCTTGGGAGGGTTTCTGACCACATACAATGGTTCAATAAGCTTTGTTTAAATGATCCATGTTCTGCAAGCAAAGCTAAACCGCCCCTCAAGTTTCAACGTACTCCTGTCCGCCAGTCTGTAAGAAGAATGAACTCCCTATTGGAGGCCAGCAGACGGTCTGTAAATTGTAAATTGGCAAAACCTAGTGATGCTTATTCTCCACTTGCTAAATCAGTGAGCTATGATTCTGCACTGTTCTCCTGTCTAAAAGAGTCCTCAAAGAATTCCACAACATCATCCAGTTGTGAAACTGTACATCAAGTCCTCATGTCATATAAAGAGATGGATTTAATTCCCAAATCTCATTCCAAACCATTAAATCCAGTAGAGAAGGATGATGTTTCTGTGAGAATTGTTAGAAGCTGCAAACAGAAAGTGACTGTTTTAGAAGACCTAACTAATCATGAAGTGTCAAAAGCTGCTGTTAAACTGAGTACAAATACAAACATTATTGGTGCTACATCAGATAAAAATATCCTTACAAAAAGTGCTACTGGAAAGGCTCGGTACAGGGGATCTCCAAAGAATCCAATATCAAAAGCTAAACTTCTTCCATCTACTAAACCTGTAGACTTATAGGTTTTAAAAATTGGCAGTTGAATTGGTTAACTAGAATTTCTGTAATATTCTTTGGGAAAACTAAGTATAGATGAGCTTTAGCTCTGAATTCTTTTGTATAATGGGATTTTTAATTGTAATTGTTTTAATTTGGTGTATGTTTAGATTTGTACAGATGTCATTAATTGTATATCAATATGATTTTCCATTTACTGTAACTTTATGACTACTAGTTGTCTGCTATTTTCAATTGACTGGATTCTGAAAAACAAAAATCTAGCTTAATTTCTAAACACTTTAAGTTGTAATTGTTCATGGAAGGCCATCTCAAACCGTGTGGGATGCATCCTTTTAGAAGTAGGCAAACTAATTCTTGCAGTGTCTTGACAAGTGTAGTATTTTATTTTAAGAAACAATTGCCAGAAGTTTTTAAAAACCAAAACCAATGCACACACAAGAAAATGGCTCACTGCTATCTATCAGGATGTGTAAAACTCATTTATTATTGCTACTTTTATTTCTTTATATGTATATATTTTTTTTAACACTACAGTGACTAAATGGCAGTAGTCTAGCTTCAGCATTGACCTAGACTTCTCTACAGCTCTGATTTTACTGTGTGGCTTTTTTCAATAGGTAGATAAATCTCTGTCCTCACAGTCGGGTTTCTGTGTACATACCAGTTGCATCTATCTGTGCATGTGCACATGAGAGAAGTAGTTGAGTATATAGGAAATAAATAAGCAGAATATGGGCTTAATATTGTACCCCTGAAAACACGGATGTATCTGTTTTGTGCCTGTTACCTTCAGTTTCTGTCAGTGGTAAAGTAAGGTTTTATGTTACTAGATAATATGCTGGTCTTAACTTATTTTTCTAGAGCAAAGAAATGTAGCTGATCATATGATACAAAAGTAGATTTAAGACAATGTCACTGAAATAATGAGACAAATGTAAAAAGCCATACTGTGTTTAAAACTTCATTTGCACAAACAAATGTTTACATCTGTCTTAGAATTTAAATTGTTTACATGTTATCCATTGTAAAATTATTTAAGACTAAAAATCTTGAATTATGACAGTTACTTTCTATGTATACAGCTTGCTTGTTGGCAGGATTTAAGAGCTGAAATCATTGCATATGTACTTTCTTTTAGTATAAGTTTGCTCATCCTATTTGGGTTTTGTAAATGTTCTCTCTACAGTGCTTTTATACCTTGCAGCACTAATCTCTATTTTTGTGTAGGTAAATGATCAATGACTGCTGGAATTCAGATTTTTGCTGTTTGTAAGAGATTGCCAACTCCAACACTTTCACCAACCCTCTGAAACTACCAGAAAATAAAAATCCCCTTCTTCTAATTCTTCATACTCCCCAAAAGCAAGATCAGAGAGGTTCTTAATGGTATGTTTAATGTTCAACAGACTTATGCTGTGTTGGGCAAGGAAAGGAATGTCTTTCAGACTTAATGGACCCTTTACTCTTGGTGCGTGTGCGTGCACACATCTAGAGAGATTTTTGCTATACCACACGCACGTGCTCCTACTAACAATTCTAGTATGAAGTAATGGGCAAAAACATCTACAAGCCATGTAAATTGCAGACACAAGAAGCCTTTGTAGGTCAAAATTCAATATTGATTCTATTCAGAAACTAATACCATGTCAAGACAGCTCATAGACCATACATGTAATAAGCTCATACAGTAGAGTGCTGGTATTTGTATACTCTAGAGTTGAATAGAAGCTTAAGCCAATATGCAGAATACAGGTCTGTGAAAATGCAAATGCATGGCAGGGAAGATCAGAGGGGGATAGGAGTTCATGTGTGTGAGACAGGTAAGTAGGTGGGTTGTGGTGGGGTGGAAAATGGGCAAGAGAGTGGAATGTTGACCACTGGTAAAATGTAGAGGGTTACCTGGGGTTATTGGTTGGCAGGCAGGTTGTAATGTGCCATAAATCCAATATCTATTTTTAGTTCATGGGTTTTTTTTGTATCCAGTAGTTTCATGAAGCAAAGTCTGTAGGCTTGTCTATGAAAGGTGTTTTATAAATTCCCTTTGAGGATTAGAACTGAGAGATTGGTGAGTGGTTGTCTTGTGAGAAATGTGCACCCACAGGTAGTAATTGGGTATTTTTATCATTCATAGATTTTTGGTGTGTTCATTCTGATACTCAATTGTTTGGTTTATTCTACATAAGTTCCATCAGGACATTCAGTGCCCTGGATGAGATGTGTTACGGTTTTGGGGGTGCAGGTATAAGATGCAGGAATGGTGATGGTTCTGCTGTGGGGTGTAGTTGTGGGAGCAGTGGATAAGTGTTGGCAGGCTTTACATTTGTCCTGGCATGGTTTGGATCCATTTGGTGTGCTTTGGGCCATAGGAAGTTTTGCTTTTTGGTGATGAGGTTGTCGAGGTTTGGTGCCTGTTTAAAGGCTAGGATGGGTGGTTCTGGGAAGATCTCTTTAACAATTGGGTCGTCTTCCATGGGTTGCAATTGTTTGAGGATTTTCTGTATAGGTTCCAGGGAAGGATGGTATGTCATACCTAATAGTGTGCGATTCGTGGGAATGTTCTTTTTGTATTGCAACAATTGTTCATGCAGTATCTGGGTGTCTCTTTCAAAAGTGTGATCCCTCTCTGGAGGAGTGCCCTTATTGGGTGAAAACTTTTGAGAGTTGTGAGGTGACAATCCCAGGTGTTCTCCACATTGCAAATTTGGTGGTATCGGAGGACTTGGCTATATATTACAGCTTTCTTGGTGTGTTTAAGGTGATTGCTGGCTCTGTGTAAATGTGTGTTGGTCCATGAGTTTCTTGTATATGGTGTTTTGTATAAATAGTGTCTAAAAAGAAAACGTTAGTGCTGGAGTATACCAGAGAGAGTCTGCTGGAAGGGTGATTATTAAACTTGTGATGGAAATCAATCAGATTTCAGGTCATGGGTCCAAATGATAAAGATGTCATCTACATACCTTAGATGGGTGGGCAACTACTTCTGCTGGAGGGCTGCTTAACAAGCTTTGAGCTGTCAAGGGTCACAAGGGTAGCCCCACCCCTTAGTAGCCATCTTGGGACCAGAAGTCATGCCCCAAACCTCTGACCTTTGCTACTGAAAGTCCCTTCCCTTGCCCCTGGAAGTACTTCATTTGGGAAGAGGGATTGCCATCATAGAACCGGAAAAAACAACAACAAATTGTGTACTAAAAATCAAACATCCATAATATATTTTTAATTTAATTGTAAAAAATATTGTCCTGATTTGTTTGTGTATATAGAAGTGATTGCATAATAGCTCAAAATGAAATGTTACTCTTCTAGACTGTGTGTGTGGTTAGGTGGGCATGGGGGGTTTGTGGGGATGTGTGTGGAGGGGGAGGGTGGGTGTGAGTGTGGGTGCATGTGTATGGTGGGGTATGTGTAGCAGTGAACAAGGCTTCCACCAGAGGTGCACAGGGATGCCTGTGTGTTTGTATGGTATTTGTGCACAGCCCCAGTGCACCCCACGACCGCTCCGCGCTGCCTGGCCATTCTGTGTCCTGCCACCCCGGGCATACAGTGGCAGTGGGGCGGCTCCTTCCAGCTGCTGCTGCTGGCCCCACGCGCGTGCAGCCTCGACCCCTGTGCTGGCTCTGGGCTCACCTGTCTAGGCTGAGCAGCAGTGGCGGCAGCACTAGGCAGAAAGTGTTGCTTGGCACAGGGAAAGCGGTCCCTCCCCCTCACCGTCACTGGGCAGTTTCTGGTGCAGCCATCTGGAGCCTGTGCCACACCAGGTTGCCGTGGGTCCATCATCGCTGTCTCCAGGCTGCCCAGCATAGCAGCAGTGATGGTGCGGAGCAGCTGCAGGGCAGCCCAGAAGTGGTGGTGATGAAGCCACGAGGCAGCCCGGCATAGCACGGGCTCTGGGCAGCCACATCAAAAGCTGCCTGGTGGTGGCAAGGGGGAGGGACTGCTTTCCCTGCACCGAGCAACCAACTGTCTGTCCAATGCTGCCAACGCTGCTGCTGCTCAGCCCAGGCAGGCGAACTGGGAGCAGGTACTGGGGCCCAGGCTCGGCAGCAATGGTGTGGGGGAGAACCTGCTCTTGTGCAGCCACTTCCTTGTGCAGCCGCCCAGAGCCTGCACAGGGCTGCCCTACATCTGTTCACCGCTGCCACTGCTGTCCCATGGGGTAGCCCAGAGGTGGTGAAGCAGCAGAAATGCAGGGGAGCCCCGTGCTGGCTCTGGGCAGCTGCACCAGTGAAGTGGAGGGGCCCCTAGGGTGCCGCTGCTGCCCCCATACTGCCTCTGCTTAACCCAGACAGGCAAGCCTGAAGCTGGCTCAGAGCATGCAGGGTCAGGGCTGTGCATGCTGGTTTCTGTACCACAGGGCTGGGGTTGTGGCAGCAGCTGGGCTGCTGAGAAAAGCAGTCCCACTGCGAAGTGCCCCACCCCTACTGCGTCCCCGGAGGTGGGGGGTGGCAGGATGTGCTACGGTCAGGTGGGACTGAAGGACCCACCGTGGGCTGGACAAAGCCCCTCTGGCTGGTGAGCCATATCTTGCCCACCATTGATCTTGGGTATAGTGTGGGTTTGGTGTACTTCTTGAGGAATTCTTCCAGGTGGCCCATAAAAAGGTTGGCATATTGTGGGGCCATTCTAATGCCCATAGCTGTACCCATTAGAGGTGCACCAATAGAGATTTGTTTGGAGCTGATACCAATGGCTGATTTTTAGTGAGTCATATTGGCCAATACTGATCCAATTCTGATCTGTAGCCGGGAAGCGTGGGAAATGGCAACAAACTGGTAAGTCTGTTGGGCGAGGGAAGGGGTGTGTGTGGGGATAGAGGTCCCCGTGGTGAGGGAGTGGAGCTGGAGCAGTAGCAGTGGCAGGCACTGCACAGCCAGGGCAGGGAGTAGGACAGCTGCAAGTGGATCATCCAGGCAGCACGGGGGTGGGGGGATACCACAAGTGCACTTACCCCAGCGGGGTATGGAGGGTGTGTGCCTCCAGATCTGCACGCAGGGCAGGGCAGGCTGCCACTGCAGGCTGGGGCTGGATGTGGCACTGGGCTGTTCCCGGTAAGGCTGGGCTGGGCTGCACTTGGTGCTGGGAGCGGGGCTATGGGGGTGGCTGCAGCCATGCTAAAGATTGCTGTAACCCACCCCTCCTGGCCCCTAACTGCCCCTCCCAGTGCTGCTGCTGCCCACCCTGAGTGCAGCCTGGCCTAGTACCCCTGGCTGGGAAGAGCTCATCAGTGCCCTAGCCTCAGCCTGCCCTCACTGTGTGCAGATCCAGGGGTATATGCCGGCCCAGGGTGCATGCAGTGGCAGCTCCT